AAAAGTTTTCAGAGTGGCAATATTACAGGGAAATGCCACTGCCAACCCAGATACCTCTGGGTATGTGGTTCAAATCTACCAGCTTCTCCACGTGAGAAAGATGAGCAGTCTTCTCCAAGGGGATTGACTGCATCTGAAAATTTGTAGGAGGGTCAGCTCAGCTATGAGTGGGTTCTGACTAGATAGAACGCAAGTAGTCAATTGCCAATATGACAAACAGATTGCAGTATCCATAAGCACTTGATTACAGATCTGTGGAGGACAGTGGGTAGGCCTCAAAGACTGCCTCCCGGACTGGCAGAATTTCTATACTTGAAAGAAATCCATTCATACCCAGATACTTCCTTCCCCAGCAAACAGGAAGATTATGTTACAGTTTGCATATGATTGGGGGGAAACTGCTTCAAAGAGATAACAGCTAAGCTAGGGGAGGCATGTTCTCTTCTGATAAACAGACAGATTAAAGAAAGGACATTAAGAATTCTAAGGTCAAGCAATTAGCCTTTCAGGCTGGAGAAAACTGATGCCAGTCTTATAACTATAGTTCCATAACTGATACATACATAGAAAATTCTGAATTTATCAATACCACCAATTGGCAGCATCAGGATGGATGGTGAAGAGATTGAGATTGTACACAGCTTTAGTTTGCTTGGTTCCATAGTCAACAGTCTTGGCACCAGCAGCCAGGAAATTAAAAGGCGCATTGCCATGGGAAAGTCTGCTGTTAGGGACCAAAGTGCTGAAGAGCAGTGGTGTCTCTCTGGAGACTAAAGTGCGTCTGATACAGGCCATGGTCTTCGCAATCACCTGTTATGCATCAGAGAGTTGGACAGTGACCAAGGAGGATAGAAGGAGAATTGATGCCTTTGAGCTGTGGTGCTGGAGAAGAGTATTGAGAATACCATGGACTGCTAGGAAAACAAACAGATTCGATCTGGAAAGGGTTAAACCGGGTGGTTCCTTGGAGGCAAGGATTCTGAGGCTCCGTCTAACATACTTTGGACATGTTGTGAGGAGAGACCGGTCCTTAGAGAGGGACATCATGCTTGGGAGGGTGGAGGGACAGCACAGGAGAGGAAGGCCCTCTATGAGGTGGATTGATTCAGTGACTGGGATAATCGGGATGGGAGTGTCAGAGACAATGCAATTGGCACAGGACAGAGCGGAGTTTAGGGCTGTTGTACATAGGGTCGCTATGAGTCACAAGTGACTCAACGGCACATAATGACAACAACAAAAACCCCATCAAGTATACAACAACACACCAGAGGAGATGCCGGAGGAAGTGAGATGGGAAGAGGAGTCTCACCGTGAACTTGACAGTCTTGGGAGGGAAACGTCTAGGCTTACTCTTGCTCTTCCTTGGGGATTCTCTGGGTTACGTCCCTCTGGAATAGATGGAGACCACGGTTTGGGGTTTGGATTCTGGTGACAGGTGGGGGGCCCTGCAGGCTCCTGACTTCACCATAGAACTCACGGTCTTGTTCTCACAAACCCCTCAATGTTCCATCAGTCTCCCAGCACCCTCACTGTGACTTACTCTAATCTGTCATCTTCTGTCTCAAGAACCTTTTCTCCCCATTAATCTTTTTATTTTGGAATAACACTAAAACCAGTCACCATGGAGGTGATTCTGACTCAGAGACCCCCATGTGTTTTCCTGGAATAACATCAGATTTACGAGCAAGTTGTAAAAATGCCAGAACTCTTGCACACCCCCCCATCCCTTTCCCCTAATGTCAACATCTTACATAATTGTGGTCCATTTGCCAAAACTGAGAGATTAACATCAGCATATGACTCTTACCTCTATACTTTTTTTCTCTTGTTGCATACCGTCGAGTCAGAGCCGATTGGCACAGGAGGAGATTGTCCCTCCTTCTCTGGATTCAAACTAAGCACCTTCAGGATTGCAGCGCAGCTTCTTGCCAGCCGGCCACCAGAGCCCCTTCTCGACTTTGCTTTTTAAGTCAACTTTTTGTTGTGATTTGATTAAAAATTGACACAGTAGGGACAATCTCCTCCTGTACCAGTCAGATCCGATTTGACGGTACGTACACAGACACACACACAGACACACACACACACACACACACACACACACATTTTAAAAAATAGACAGAATAAGCTTTCGCATGAACTTATACATGTTTGCTGACGTTAATTGCAATCCCTACACTGTAACAGCATCCTCCACACATCCACTATGTGATTCTCATTTCTATTAATTCTTCTTTCTTATCTCTTCTTGCCTTTTTCTAAAAAAAAAAATATATAAGGTGAAAGTAAACATAGTTTTATTAGAAAAGACATGTCTCAGAGAGTGAGACAGGTCATGTCCCCTTCCTGCCTTGCCTGGGCCAATTCTACCATTTTGACCCTGTGTATATAGTTGTTCTAAGGAGTGAGTAACTTCTTGATGTTACTGATCTACTGATTGGCCTACCTATTGTTTTAGGGTTTTTTTAAATAAAAAATTTTATTATTTTTTGTGTGTACTGTCAAATAATTTTTTACACGTATAAAAAACGATTTGACAGTACACACAAAAAAATACAAAATTTTCTGTATGCGCCTGATACAGGCTATGGTCTTTGCAATCACTTGTTATGCTTCAGAGAGTTGTACAGTGACTAGGGATGATAGAAGGAGAGAATTGATGCCTTTGACCTGTGGTGCTGGAGAAGAGTATTGAGGGTACCATGGACTACTAAGAAAACAAACAGATTTAGCCTGGAAAGGGTTAAACCAGGCTTCTCCTTGGAGGCAAGGATTCTGGGGCTTCATCTGACATACTTTGGGCATGTTGTAAGGAAGGACTGGTCCTTGGAGAGGGACAGCATGCTTGGGAGGGTGGAGGGACAGCGCAGGAGTGGAAGACCCTCTATGAGGTGGATTGATTCAGTGACTGGGATAATCGGGATAAGTGTATCGGAGACAGTGAGAGCAGGGTTTAGGGCTGTTGTACATAGGGTCGCTATGAATCGCAAGCAACTCGAAGGCACATAACAACAACAACCACCATCATATCAGATCTGACTGGTCCAGGAGGAGATTGTTCCTCCTTCTCCAACAGATCATCTGGTGGATTTGAACCATGCACCTCTGGGATTGCAGTGCAGCTTCTTGCCACTAGGCCACCAGAGCTCACCTGTTCTTTGAAAGTTGAGTCTCATGGTTAGTTTCAATTCTAGGCTTGAAGGATGATGACGGCCTGCATTTGGAGGTTCCACCAGTCTCCTATCAGACCCGGAAGCTCAGTCTAGTATATGATTCTGGGTTTTGTTTCACATTCTTCTCTGATCGAGGACTTCCTGCTGTGATCAGCAGTGGTAGCTGGGCACCGTCTAGTCTTTCTGGTCACAGAGTCTCAGAGATTGATGCTCATATGATCTGTTAGCCTCATGCATGAGTAGTCTCTGGTTTTCTCCATGGCCCTATAGTCCTTTGAGCATAATTTATGGAGTGGAATCCACTTCCTAAATGACTTGCCTCCTGAAACTCTATGAGCAGTGCTCAGGTCTATGAGTCGTCAACAATTTGATGACACTTAACAACAATATATTAATACATAAGACACCTGGTGGCATAACAGCTTGAGGGTTGGGCTGCTAACCAGAAGGTCAGCAGTTCAAACCCACCAGCCCCTCTTGGATAGAAAAGAGGGTCAATCTTCTCCTATTAAGATTTACAGCCTTCAAAACCCAACAATTAGTTGCCATGAGCCATAACTGACCTGATGGCAACGTGGGGTGGTTTCTTTTTTATTCGGGGGAAGTGGTACTAATATTATGCTTTTTTTTTAAAGAATTTTTTTTTAATTTTCTGTTCATGTACCGTCAAATCAGATCCAACTGGCACAGGAGGAAATTGTCCCTCCTTCTCCGGCAGAGCATCTGGTGGATTTAAACCGTGTACCTCTGGGATTGCAGTATAGCTTCTTGCCACTAGGCCACCAGAGCTCCCCATATTATGCTTTTTGCAAAACATAACCATAACACAAAAAATGGAAATGCTAAAACCAAGATAATAGATAACTATTTACAATACAATGTTTTAAGTCAAATACACCATTAAGGCAAAATCCCAATCTCTTATTTTCTTGTTACATCACTTTTTTAAAAAAATGTGGTTTGCTTACATAAATCCACTAAGCTTGGCACAGGCATGCGAAAGAATGTTGCAACACATTGAAAATGAGCAAATTAGCAGTCTTCCCACCCTTGAAGGCAGGACCTGGAGTTTACACGTGTCATAGCCAATCACATTCCATTGGCTCAAACATGGCCATGGTTAGCTGCCAGTGAGCTTGGGAAATTACAGCCCTTATTTGAGTCATTTACCAACCTGAAACTTAGAGATAGCCTTCTTTCTTTTGATTGTGGTCCATACAAATGCAACAAAACATTTGTCATTGCAACGTGTTTTCCCCCCATGGACATTGACGTTGGCATTGATTATGTCCCTTCCGCTGTGTAACCATCTTCACGGTCCATTTCCAAAGGGAGACTTTTTTTAACCTGGAGGAGGAGAACAGCAGGGTCAGCCCTGCATGAAAGGTCCAATATTTTGTTCCTATTCTTCAGTAAATCTTTACTTGGGATTTGACAGCTATCAAACCCAAGACTGGTTGACAATCTGGGCTTAGTTGTTGGACTCCAGTTTTACCTCCTCTGCTATACTTCGGGTTCATGAGATTGAATTTGTGTGTGTCTGTTTAAACTTCCTGGGAACTGCAACGTGATTTCCTTCCCGTAGGCTGCAGGGGGTCGTGCTGCTAACCCCAAGGGGGTTTGAATACACTGACTGCTCGGCAGGAGAAAGATGGGGCATCACCTCCCGTGCGATTTATAGCCCCCCATGACCCCACAGAGGGTCAGCTGTGACCCGAGGGCAGTGACTTGGCTCATGGGACAGTTGGGTGGAAACTGGTCACCTGTTCAGTGTCCGGTCTGACATTTATGGCGCTTCATTCTCCTCTTCTCTCTTCTCAGCAGGAGACAAATGTGAGAGAAACGAGTTCCAGTGCCAAGACGGGAGCTGCATCTCCTACAAGTGGGTCTGCGACGGGGTTGCCGAGTGTCCCGACGGCTCCGATGAGCTGGAGGAGACCTGCGGTGAGTGCCCTGGGCCCGGCCAGGCGCCTCCTGGCCCTCTGTGCTGATGGAGGCGGGAGGTGGCTCGAGAAGTGGCCAGAGCAGATGGATGCTGTTCAGCTGGTGGAACAGTGGGTGGAGCTGCTAACCTAAAGGACAGCGGTTCGAATCCACTAGCCTCTCACTGGGAGATGGAAGTCTGTTCTGGTCAAGAGTGGAAACCCTGCTCTGACCACTGAGGGTGCTACGAGTCAGAATCCGTCAGGGATGCTGGGTGGGTGCTTTATCAGGAGACTTTACCACTTAACACACTCTGCAGTTAGCTGAAAGGTTGGAGGTTTGAACCCAGCCAGAGCACCTTAGAAGGGCCTGCATGGGGGGACCTCCTTCTGAAAAGTCAGCCATGGAAAGCCCATGGAGCTTAGTTACCCTCTCAGGGTCTCCGTGACTCAAGACGACAGCCCCCAACCCCCAAAATCTCCCTTCAGTGCCCTTGGCTCCCACCCACAGAGGTGGACTTTACACCCCTTCTCTGGGTTCTTTCTTTGCACAGATGGGACTCTTTTTTTTTTCTGTCTCACACAGTTTATTTAACAGTAGGTAATTGTTGTTGTTTAATGCCGTCGAGTCGTAGATGACTCATAGCGACCCTGTGAACGAACAGCCTGAGCACTGTTCGTACATAGAGTTTCCGGAGGCAAGCCATTTTGGAAGTGGATGCAGCTCCTGCTTCCAGGCTTGATTTAGTCGGGGAGCTCCAGCCAACACTGTCCACCATGGGTGCCCATTACCACGATTGGCACATCACTGTCACAGGCTTCAGCATCAAAGCAACCACGAGTTACCTCTGTACAGCAATGCACAGACCAGTAGGTAATAAGAAATAAAATTTGATAGTCTATAAAGTGATCCAAAGTTCATATTATTTATTTATTTAAATTTTTCATTGCTTTTCTTTTTTAAATTTTATTTTATTATTTTTTGTGCATGTACCATCAAATCAGATCTGACTGGTACAGGAGGAAATTGTCCCTCTTTCTCCGGCAGAGCAACTGGTGGATTCGAACAATGTACCTTTGGGATTGCAGTACAGCTTCTTTCCACTAGGCCACCAGAGCTCCCCAAAAGTTCATATTTATAAGTAATCAACTTTAATTGCATGATTTGAAACAGTTGAGAGTTTTTGTTTTTTATGCAGACGGCACTTCTGAGGTGGCCAGGGCTTCCCCGTGAGTTACGGTCCAACCCCATTTCTCCCACAGTGTCCATAACCTGCAGTCCTGAGACCTTCAGCTGTGGGGGCCGGGTCAACCGCTGTATCCCTCAGTCCTGGAAATGCGACGGCCAGACCGACTGTGTTAACGGCACGGACGAGCAGGGCTGCGGTGAGTGGGGACCCCGGCGCCCTGCCCAGCCTCCTCCAGGGACCTCGTTTCCTTGGACGCGGCCAGACTGTGTTCCCAGGTTGCTGCCCTGCTCGTGCCGGGTGCCCGCTGCCCGCACTAGGCCTTGTTTCTGGGGGGCTCATGACAGGCCCCCATCCTCACATCCCTCTCTGACTGGGAAGCAGGAGTGTGACAGAACAGACAGTGGGCACAGTGGAAGCAGGCAATAGGTGGAACTAGTGTAATTGACGTGTAGGCATCAGACACATGAAATGACGTAATGCTTGTTAACTGTATTTTTACCATAATTCAGAAAGAAAAGTGGGGGAAAAAAACAAAGAAAACAAGCCAAGGTCCCTGGACATGCAGGCACCATGGAGCTGGGTGTCGGCCTTGGCTCTTGCAGGCTTCCTGTGTGGGCCCCACCTAAAAGCTTGGCATGAGGAAATGGACATGCAGAGGGGGTTGGCGACTTCCCAGGGGTGTCCAGGGCACAGGTGATGAGGAAATGGACATGCAGAGGGGGTCGGTGACTTCCCAGGGGTGT